AGTTTCTCCACAGCCCTGTTGTGCTCAAGCTGTTTCATCCTTCGCTTCTGAGCGTTCATCTGCTCAATGCGATCGTCCTCTGCAAACTTGGCCAACATCTGCTGCCTGAAGGCTGCTTCCTCTTCTTGCATAGCTTGCTGCATGGCCATCTTTAAAGCAAGTTGCTCTTCATATGTTTGCCTTAAGTCTAGACGTTGCCTAATTCTCTTTTCAATTTCTGCCTGTGAAGGAAATGCAATAAAATACTATGTTACTGAAAACACCTCAGACAACTTTGATCATCATCAGCCAACCTGCCCAATTTAGCTTGGAATAAATCTGCTGTAGCTGTTACCTTCTAGCATACATAACTGGAGCAAACACTCCGTGTCTGACAGTGCTCTCCAGTGTTAACTGGTTTGGAAAATGTCTCAAAATTCAGTTTAGAACAGAAGGAGGGTGTTGCTTTTTTTCCCCACAAGTATGAACTGAATCAACAAGAGAGTGCTCCTAAAAATAAGAGTGTTAGGTAACTCAGCCTGCGTTATATTTTGTCACCTGCAGCAAGGTAAGACACGGGGAAGGCTCACAGGAAAACACAAATGGACATGCAAAAAGCAAGCAGATAATTGACTACTCAGCTTAAACCTGAACTTGAAAGTTACTGGCATTCTCCTTTGTAAGAGAAATAACTGTATAAAGGGGATCATCAGGGTATTAAAAACCTTCAATTGTCTTCCTGGTTGAAATAAAAACATAACTACATTACGGGCAGCAAAGGAAACTCAAAGGACAGAATTGTCCCTCCAAAAATGAAGTTAATATACAAACTGCGTGTCTGGCTAAGAACACTTAGGAAATACCATTGGAGATAAGAAACTTTATGTCAGAAAATAAAGTGGAAACAATCCAAATTACTTTAATATACCTAAAACCATGGCAGAATGAAGCTTTTTGCTTTGAGACAGCTCACAGACAAAATGGGTGCAAGGAAGTCCCTCAAAACCATTCCAGAGTCGCAAACCATGTATTTGCTAACTCTGCTATGTTGTTAAAAAAACAAAGCCCTGACCCATGAACAACCTTGCCAACACTGTTAAAGTTGTGGAACGTCTTCAGATGCAGAAGGAATTGCATGTGGGATATACTCTCACAAAATGTTCTTTAAGCACCACAACTCCAGTTTCCAAAGCCCAAAGGAATGCTGCTGCATCACAGAGACATCAGGAGAAGTGAGGGGACAGATGAAAACTATGCAAAACACCATCCCCTGCATTCCTTTATTACCTGTGTTCTAGATCAGTCATTCAAAATGGTTTTGTTTGATTTCTACATGTTTGTATCTGGTCTGCTTAAATTAGATCAGTTTGCCCACAGGTGTAAGTACTATATAAGCTAGATGCTGTCCTGCATATACACAGGTATTTTTATTTTATTCAAGTTGCATCCAGGCCAGCTCTGCTAACCTAAATGTTCTGCAGGAATTATGGCAAAGCTGCAAGTCTCCACTTGCATTTTACCTGCACAGTTCATGCACAGGCACACAGAACATACAGGCCACACATGAAAACCTGGGATCCAAAGAGTGCCAAAATATCAATTCATGTACCTGTGGAAGTCCAGAGAAATGGAATATTCCCTCTGGTCCCCTCCAATACACAGGTACTACTTTATCTCCCTGCCAACACTCACCATCTCCTTCTTCCTTTCGTTCTCCGCTTGTTCTTCCAGATACAGCTCTTGTCGTACTTGTTCCTCTTCTTCACGCTTCTGTTGTTCTCTTTCCAGATTTTGGGCAAGCTATAACAAGAAGGAAGGATTTCTAAATGAAAGACAAGAATTGTATGACAATTCTTTCTACAGTTTCAGGTTTTGATACCATGTTTTGAAGCTTTTGTTTTTTCTCCTCCACATCTCGAACTTTAGCTGCCCGATCTTTTTCTCTTTGTTGCTGGAAGTTGGCAAACTCCATGATTTTCCTATTTTCTTCTTCTATCTCTTCTTCTCTCCTTCTCCTCCAGAGAGCTTGTTCTTTTTTGAATTCTTCATTACAATTATGAGCTGCTCTCTTTTTCTCTAACTTAATTTGTCTTTCCCTTATAAAATGGAACAATAATGCTTCAATAGTTATTTAACATACTGCACAGTAACATTAAACAGACCATATGCTATATATATATATCTCTATATATCTATCTCATAGGTTCCAGAGACTATGTTAAATGACTTTCCTTACCCATTCAGCTAGAAATCAAATGCCTAAAAGGAAAATACGTACTAACAAATTGCCCCCAAAAGGGAATCTCATGTCTAATACTCTTCTTCAGGCAGACAGACCATACACACAGGTACTCATCACTACCCCATTTTTTTCTTGCTCCATCAGAACAGGAAGGAGAAGGAAGCCCAATGACACCAGAATCTGCTACACTTTTTAGTTATGTATTTACACTGAACTCTCCCTCCACACACACACACACCACACCCTGCCCTCAGAAACCTCTTCTGTCCCTGCCCAGGAGACAGGCTTGCAGCACAAGGCCTCACAGAGGCAGGAATCTGTGACACGTGGCTGTTGCCCTACACAACAGCTCCCACAGAAGCACAACTTGGAATAAGCTGCATTTTGTATTTGGGGAATAAGGACACGAAATTGACTGGGACATTGAGAACATTCTGACATTGACACAGCAAAACCCATGCAAGCCTGTCTCTTGTTAGCAAAACATGACCAAGAAAAACTAAAATGGGCCTTAGACTATGAAATAAATGTATACCAATTAGCTTTCTGCACAGCTTTAGATTAACTGGTTTAAACTAATAAATAATAAAAATTCCAAGTAACCTACATTTGGTCTTCCTCAAAGATCTTCCTTATAATTTCGTCAATCAAGAGCTTTTCTCTCAGGAACTCTTCATAAGCCTCCTGCTTCTTCCTCTCTTGCTCCTCAAGCTGTTTCTCCAGCTCCTGCTGATATATTATCTTCTCCTGGTTTCGCTTCAGCTCTGCAGAACTTTCTTCTTCTATTACCCTTTCATACTCTTCCTTCATCTTTTGGGCTATTTCAGCCTCACGTTTCTACAGGGGGAAAGCAACACAAGGTTCCTTTTCACTCCCACTAACACAAGTGGTAGGGAAATGACACAGTATAAAAAGGAATTATGCTGCATTACAAAACTCAGATGTTTCCACCTCAGTCTATAAATGGAGTGCCTGAATGTGCTTTATAGCTCAATTCAGAGAGTAGAACCCTTGGAGGGAACCATCAACATCTAAACAACTTGAGAAGATCTAATAATACCTAAAGGCAGCTATGTATTGATCCAAGACACAGCAGAGCACTCAGTGTAAGTGAAACCAGCTCACGTGGGCACAACTGAAATCTGGTTTAACTGCACAGAACAGAGTTAATAAATGTGCTGTCTTCCCAGAAATTTGCTTGAATTGAGTTTTGTTCAAACCATTAATATAACCAGAATAATCTGCCTGATCACCAGCATTATTATGTGCATAAATAAAATGCCACAACCCTTTCTGCAGTTATTCAGCTCTTTTTTTAACAGTAGTAACGTTTTCAATACTCTGATCCTGAGATCAGGACTCACCACAACAAGCATGTACTGGGCAAACTACATCAGAGTTTAAACTTGGAAAAAATATTACGAAACCAGAAAAATAAAAGCTATATTTATTCATACAACTGAATTCACTGCTACTTTAATTGCAATGGCAGAGTAAGCCTTTCCTTTATGGTTAGTTATTACAACACAAAACACCTTTTCAATGAACACTGACCACCTCAATCTGTTTTAGATGAAAAGGCCAACTTGAAAGAATTTTTCCCAGCACAACTCCCAGAGCTGCAGCACTCAGGTGCTGGCAGGCACTGTGAAGCTACTTACCATTTTCTCATACTGCACAGCTTCTTTCTCAGCCACCTGTGCAGCTCTCTCTTTGTTCACATAAGCAGACTTGAGTTTTTTTTCCAATTCTCGAAGTTCAAGACTGGGGGGAAAAGAAAAAAACAGAAATTTACACTATTACAAGGAGGTCACTGCCTATGGAAAAAACTCTCAAGTTTCCATCACTATTTAAACAGTTTCCAAAATTTCTTTTCTCAAGGGAAAAGCCCAGTTTTACATGAAATATACTGCTTTAGTGAAAGAGTGGAAAAAGAAAACAAACCCTGTCTCAAACCAGGAATTATCTACATTTTTGTACATACTATCAATAAGTTTGCATAATTTACATCTAACTCTGTAACTGTGTGTACACATATATAAACATGTACACTTACACACCTATATAAGCACCTACTCAACATGAAAATATTGTGGATCAGAGAGTTTGTTTCTTATTGACAAAATTTGCTTACAAGTAATTTTTAAATCAAATTTTTACCTTCCATAGCTTTTCCTTCCAGGTCAGATTAATTTCTGCTTCTGCTACAACTTCCACAGGGTCTCTGTTGTCTCCAGTTAACTGACCTCCCCTCACCCTCTCCAGAGTCTCCCCTCCCTCATGTTCCCCTCATACACGTCATTCTGACCCTGTCCCTTGACCCTGCAGTGACCCCCCCTCACAGCCTTCTCCCCAGCACTCCTCAAAATCTACCTTCTCCTTTGTTTTTTTTCCAATTATCATCTTCTCTGCTGCAAATATCCAAAAAAGTAAAGCCTATTCTAAAAAGCAAAGCATGTACCTGATTTTAGCACCCTACAACTTCCTTTCTATTGCTCAAAAACATCTCAAGCTATAATCTCACTGCATCTAAGGTTCAGTCCAAAATGTGATCGAGAAAAACAGAAATCGAGCAGGGCAGACAGCAGAGGTAAGAGTTCTATGGACACCGCTTTGCAGCCTTGGGATTGGCTCACAGTAACTTCAATGAAGCAGTGAGGATCTCTGAAGCACTACCTGTTCTCTCTTACTTGTTGCCTCATCTTTTCATCTTTGATTTTCTCGCGGTTCAG